AGTGTCCGCCACTATCCAGTACAGTGTCCGTCACTATCCAGCAACATGCCGTCACTAACCAGTAACAGTGTGTCCCGTCACTATCCAGTAACAGTGTCCGTCACTATCCACGCAACAGTGTCCGCCACTATCAGTAACAGTGTCCTCACTATCCAGCAAAGTGGCCGTCCACTAACCAGTAACAGTGTCTCCGCCACTATCCAGAACAGTGTCCCGTCACTATCCAGCAACATGTCCTCACTATCCAGCAACAGTGGTCCACGTCACTATCATCTCGATAAATCTGTTACATGCAAAAAATCTGTCTTTACCTCATGATTTTTGCTATCACATTTATTGTGTATTTTTGTCTTTCGTCCATTATACAACTTAAATAATTTAATTCCTTAATTCATTCTTTCATTTATTCTTTACATTTTGGTTTATTTTTTACAAACATAAAATAAAACGTTCAGTTTCTACCTTGTTCTTATATACTATTTTCTTTTCAAAAAAAAAAAAATCTCTGTTCTTCATCTTTTTTTCTTCTTCTCTCCATATAATAGTATATTTATTTCTTCCTATATATCCATCCTCTCCATTATCTTCATACTTCTCCAACACCTTCCACTATTGGCATGAGCCAGTAGGCCTTCTGCAGTGTTCCTTCTTATATTTTTATGTTCTCATTCTGTTTTATAAACGTTCATAAATAAACGTCTCAATTTCATTTTCCTATTGAACTCTACAGATTATTTACATTTGTTCACTGCAGTATAATCTTACTGTTAATTTCTCTCTAAATACTCTTTTAAAGCATTGTGATTCTATTCCTTATAATCTAATCCTTTATGTTTATGAATCTCTTTTGTTTATCTAGGTCTTATTCTATTGCTTATGTTTTTTTTCCCAGGAGAACATTGTTATCTTCTGTTTTTAATGTGGGTTTAAGTGGGTCGTGTTGGAGATTTCCTCTGTTGTTTGAGTAACCATGAAGTTTAAAATTGATGGTGTGTTGTTGCCTCTCATTGATGATGTCTTGCTGCCTCTCATTGATGGTGCATTGCTGCCTCTCATTGATGATGTATTACTGCCTCTCATTGATGATGTCTTGCTGCCTCTCATTGATGGTGTCTTGCTGCCTCTCATTGATGGTGCATTGCTGCCTCTCATTGATGATGTGTTACTGCCTCTCATTGATGATGTCTTGCTGCCTCTCATTGATGGTGTCTTGCTGCCTCTCATTGATGGTGTCTTGCTGCCTCTCATTGATGATGTCTTGCTGCCTCTCATTGATGGTGTCTTGCTGCCTCTCATTGATGGTGTCTTGCTGCCTCTCATTGATGGTGTCTTGCGCATCATCATTGATGTGTCTTGCTGGCCTCTCATTGATGGTGTCTTGCGCCTTCCAGTTATGGTGTCTTGCTGCCTCTCATTGATGGTGTCTTGCTGCCTCTCATTGATGGTGTGTTACTGCCTCTCATTGATGATGTGTTACTGCCTCTCATTGATGGTGTGTTACTGCCTCTCATTGATGGTGTCTTACTGCCTCTCATTGATGATGTCTTGCTGCCTCTCATTGATGATGTCTTGCTGCCTCTCATTGATGGTGTTACTGCCTCTCATTGATGATGTCTTGCTGCCTCTCATTGATGGTGTTACTGCCTCTCATTGATGATGTCTTGCTGCCTCTCATTGATGATGTCTTGCTGCCTTTCATTGATGATGTCTTGCTGCCTCTCATTGATGGTGTTACTGCCTCTCATTGTGGATGTCTGCTGCCTCTCTTGATGGGATACTGCCTCTCATTGATGGTGTCTTACTGCCTCTCATTGATGGTGTCTTGCTGCTTCTCATTGATGGTGTCTTGCTGCCTCTCATTGATGATATCTTGCTGGCTCTCATTGATGATGTCTTGCTGCCTCTCATTGATGATGTCTTGCTGCCTCTCATTGATGGTGTCTTGCTGCCTCTCATTGATGATGTCTTGGCTGCCTCTCATTGGATGATGTCTTGACTTTTGCTCCTCTCATTGATGATGTCTTGCTGCCTCTCATTGATGGTGTCTTGCTGCCTCTCATTGGTGATGTCTTGCTGCAACTCATTGATGATGTCTTGCTGCCTCTCATTGATGGTGTCTTGCTGCCTCTCATTGATGATGTCTTGCTGCCTCTCATTGATGGTGTCATGCAGCTGCTCTCATGAATGATGTCCTTTCTGCTCGCTTGATGATGTCTTGCTGCCTCCTTCTCTTTGATGATGTCTTGCTGCCTCTCATTGATGGTGTCTTGCTGCCTCTCATTGATGGTGTCTTGCTGCCTCTCATTGATGATGTCTTGCTGCCTCTCATTGATGGTGTCTTGCTGCCTCTCATTGATGATGTCTTCTGCCTCTCACTTGATGATGTCTTGCTGCTCTCCATTGATGATGTCTTTGCTGCCTCTCATTGATGTGTCCTTGTGCCGTCCATTGATGATAGTTCTTGCTGCCTCTCATTGATGTGTCTTGCTGCCTCTCATTGAGGTGTCTTGCTGCCTCTCTTGATGATGTCTTGCTTTGCCTCTCATTATGGTGTCTTCTACGCTGCTCCATTGATGAATGTCTTTCTGCCTCTCATTGATGATGTCTTTCTGCCTCTCATTGATGATGTCTTGCTGCCTCTCATTGATGATGTCTTGCTGCCTCTCATTGATGATGTCTTTCTGCCTCCATTGATGAATGTCTTTCTGCCTCTCATTGAATGAATGTCTTTGCTGCCTCTCCATTGAAGATGCTTATCTCTCATAGATGTGCTGCTGCCTCTCATTGATGATGTCTTGCTGCCTCTCATTGATGGTGTCTTGCTGCCTCTCATTGATGATGTCTTTCTGCCTCTCATTGATGATGTCTTGCTGCCTCTCATTACTGCTGCTTCATACTGATACATACAAAATCTATCATTATATTGAGGACATCTATTGACCATTTATATATAGTCCCAGCCTCACGGGCTCTCCATTTTATTTGTTCATAATTAAAATCTTCAGGTACAATAACTTTCTCTTTATCAGAGTCATTCTTCATCAACAGCTTCCTAAAAAATATTATACAATCTCACATTTATCCTACTGATCTCTTCTTTCCCAAGTTTTATTAAATGCTGGATAATATACATTTACCACTAAAAGTTCCTCATATTTATTCTGTACTCTTATTCCTACAATTTCAACATTTTCGGTATATTCCATTTTCCACAGTCTGAAAAAGTCTTTTATCAATATTGATAAATCCTCATTCCTTCCTTCTTCCTGCAGTATCTCTTCTCCACACTGAGTAATTTCCCTTGAGTGCAACCTCGTTTAAACATATACTTTTCCAGTTTGGTTTCGGTTAGAGCAACTCTGTCAGGTTTCTTTTCATTTATAATAACCTTTAGTTCTGAGATTATTCCATTTATATTTGTGTGTAAATGTTTAGAAATGTGTTGTTCTCACACCACTACCTTCCTACAGGTGTGTCAAGACAGTAAGACCACAACACTATCTTCCCTACAGGTGTGTCAGGACCCAGTAAGACCACAACACTATCTTCCCTACAGGTGTGTCAGGACCCAGTAAGACCACAACACTATCTTCCCTACAACTGTGTCAAGACAGTAAGACCACAACACTATCTTCCCTACAGGTGTGTCAAGACAGTAAGACCACAACACTATCTTCCCTACAGGTGTGTCAAGACAGTAAGACCACAACACTATCTTCCCTACAGCTGTGTCAAGACATAAGACCAAAAACACTATCTTCCTACAGTTGTGTCAAGACAGTAAGACCACAACACTATCTTCCCTACAGGTGTGTCAAGACCCAGTAAGACCACAACACTATCTTCCCTACAACTGTGTCAGGACCCAGTAAGACCACAACACTATCTTCCCTACAACTGTGTCAGGACCCAGTAAGACCACAACACTATCTTCCCTACAACTGTGTCAAGACAGAAAGACCAAAAACACTATCTTCCCTAAAAACTGTGTCGGGAAACCCAGTAAGACCACAACACTATTTCCCTACAACTGTGTCAGGACCCAGAAAAGACCACAACACTATCTTCCCTACAACTGTGTCAAGACAGTAAGACCACAACATTTATCTTCCCTAAAAAAACGTGTCAGGACCAGTAAGACCACAACACTATCTTCCCTACAACTGTGTCGGGACCCGTAAGACCACAACACTATCTTCCTAAAAACTGTGTCAAGACAGTAAGACCACCAACCCACTATCTTCCCTACAACTGTGTCAAGACAGTAAGACCACAACACTATCTTCCATACAACTGTGTCAAGACAGTAAGCCCCAAACCCACTATCTTCCCTACAACTGTGTCAAGACAGTAAGACCAAAACACTATCTTCCCTACAACTGTGTCAGGACCCAGTAAGACCACAACACTATCTTCCTTACACTGTGTCAAGACAGTAAGACCACAACACTATCTTCCCTACAACTGTGTCAAGACAGTAAGACCACAACACTATCTTCCCTACAACTGTGTCAAGACAGTAAGACCACAACACTATCTTCCCTACAACTGTGTCAGGACCCAGTAAGACCACAACACTATCTTCCCTACAACTGTGTCAAGACAGTAAGACCACAACACTATCTTCCCTACAACTGTGTCAAGACCCAGTAAGACCGCAACAACATCAACACAGCTGAGATGACATCATCTAATATCAGAAATAGCTTCGACAAGTGTACCACTGTAGTGTTGTGCTACTCTAGCCTTCCTTAATATATTAAATGAGTTATTCTTACTTCAGAAAATGTCCAACGTTGATCATTTCCTTTTATTGGGACACAACTCACGTTAAACACATTTTACTCCGTACAGTAAACAGGCAGAGTCCGGTTTTTTCCCCATGATGTGGCTTGTGTGTGTGTGTGTGTGTGTGTGTGTGTGTGTGTGTGTGTGTGTGTGTGTGTGTGTGTGTGTGTGTGTGTGTGTGTGTGTGTGTGTGTGTGTGTGTGTGTACTCACAGTTGTACCAACAGTCCTGGAGTAACCGTCCCAGGAAGAGGTAGCTGGTTCAGGTGCATCAATGGGTCCCGTCTCACACACTGTCAGGGAGAGAGAGACAAATCAATTCTTATATCGTCATGGCAGCTACCAAACATATATATTTTTTCCAGTCATTTTTCGCATTCCTGGTATTTCTGCCATTCTATGTACTCCTGTTATTCCTGGAATTCTTGTTATTCCTTGTTTTCCAAGTATGAAAGTTACTCTGTGGTAGTTTGGCTAAATTGAACGAATTGGTCAGTTTAGCAAACTACCATATAATTTAACTTTTCTAAAAAATAATGGATTAATTGGAATATTTTTCATTAAAAAAGTGTAAAAAATTTAGGCTGTGCACCAAACCTACCTTAGAGACCTAACCTAACTTAAACTAACTTACAGACCTAACCTAACCTCACCTAACTTAACCTAACCTAACCTAACGTAATTTATCTCAGCCTAATTTTTCTAAATGAAAGTCAGTAATATATTTTTTTAGTCATAATCACACTGCTGTTCGTAAATTTATTGCAAAAACAAATGTACGTATAGAGAGAAACAGAAGCAGTAAGAGAACGTACGTTGAACACAGGTAAGTGAACCTTCCCACACCCAGGTGTGGTTCACTGAGCAGGTAACGTTCATCGTGCTCACGGAATTTGGCCTCGCCTGTCAGAACCAGAATAAACATCTCCATCAGTAAGCAAGCATAATTAAGCTTGTAGATGAATAGTTCAAAGAACCGACATGTTGTTAAATTAGACACATGTGCAACTCTTGGGTATCTTTATTGAGGATACCCAAAGATACCCAAGAGTTCCACATGTGTCTAATTTAACAATAATTAAGCTTAGTAAATTAGACACACGTCCAACACTTGAGTATCTCCATATATTTTATGTTTATATACTTACACTCGAAGCTTAATCATGTGGATAAATTAGACACATGTGTAGCACTTGAGTCCTTTTAATGTGGAAACGTTTCACCACACAGTGGCTTCATCAGTCCAAAGAAGAATGGTGAAAATGAGGAGTTTGAGGTAATCATTCCCTCAGCCTAGAGTCGATTCCTGACCACATGAAGTTTTGAGAATATTGTGTTACAATGATGATCTTTGCTGCCTGCCAGACATATATTATGTTTTTAAGCAAAATTAGATACATTAGCAATGTGCTGTTATGTTCTTTGGCTGAAGGAAGGTGACAGAAGGAAGGTGAAGCAGTGGTGGTAGGTAGACGTACTCACAGTAGCAGTGGTGGTAGATAGACGTACTCACAGTAGCAGTGGTGGTAGGTAGACGTACTCACAGTAGCAGTGGTGGTAGGTAGACGTACTCAGAGTAGCAGTGGTGGTAGGTAGACGACTCACAGTAGCAGTGGTGGTAGGTAGACGTACTCACAGTAGCAGTGGTGGTAGGTAGACGTACTCACAGTAGCAGTGGTGGTAGGTAGACGTACTCAGAGTAGCAGTGGTGGTAGGTAGACGTACTCACAGTAGCAGTGGTGGTAGGTAGACGTACTCACAGTAGCAATTATGGTAGGTAGACGTACTCACAGTAGCAGTGGTGGTAGGTAGACGTACAGTAGCAGTGGTCGTAGGTAGACGTACTCACAGTAACAGTGGTGGTAGGTAGATGTACTCACAGTAGCAGTGGTGGTAGGTAGACGTACTCACAGTAGCAGTGGTGGTAGGTAGACGTACTCACAGTAGCAGTGGTCGTAGGTAGACGTACTCACAGTAACAGTGGTGGTAGGTAGACGTACTCACAGTAGCAGTGGTGGTAGGTAGACGTACTCACAGTAGCAGTGGTGGTAGGTAGACGTACTCACAGTAGCAGTGGTCGTAGGTAGACGTACTCACAGTAACAGTTGTGGTAGGTAGACGTACTCACAGTAACAGTGGTGGTAGGTAGACGTACTCACAGTAGCAGTGGTGGTAGGTAGACGTACAGTAACAGTGGTGGTAGGTAGACGTACTCACAGTAACAGTGGCGGTAGGTAGACGTACTCACAGTAGCAGTGGTGGTAGGTAGACGTACTCACAGTAGCAGTGGTGGTAGGTAGACGTACTCACAGTAACAGTGGTGGTAGGTAGACGTACTCACAGTAGCAGTGGTGGTAGGTAGACGTACTCACAGTAACAGTGGTGGTAGGTAGACGTACTCGCAGTAACAGTGGTGGTAGGTAGACGTACTCACAGCAACAGTGGTGGTAGGTAGACGTACTCACAGTAGCAGTGGTGGTAGGTAGACGTACTCACAGTAGCAGTGGTGGTAGGTAGACGTACAGTAACAGTGGTGGTAGGTAGACGTACTCACAGTAGCAGTGGTGGTAGGTAGATGTACTCATAGTAACAGTGATGGTAGGTAGACGTACTCACAGTAACAGTGGTGGTAGGTAGACGTACTCACAGTAACAGTGGTGGTAGGTAGACGTACTCACAGTAGCAGTGGTGGTAGGTAGACGTACTCACAGTAGCAGTGGTGGTAGGTAGACGTACAGTAACAGTGGTGGTAGGTAGACGTACTCACAGTAGCAGTGGTGGTAGGTAGACGTACTCATAGTAACAGTGGTGGTAGGTAGACGTACTCACAGTAACAGTGGTGGTAGGTAGACGTACTCACAGTAACAGTGGTGGTAGGTAGACGTACTCACCGTAACAGTGGTGGTAGGTAGACGTACTCACAGTAACAGTGGGTGGTATGTATTGGTACTCACAGTAGCAGTGGTGGTAGGTAGATGTACTCACGGTAGCAGTGAGTTCCAGGTAGAAGAGTACTCACAGCAGTGGGTGGCAGGTAGAAGTCTGGTAGACAAGAGTAGAGTACAGTGGTACCAACGTCGTGGATGGTGGTGTTGGCCCTGGTCATGTTGGCTCCTGGCGTGGGGAAGTCCGCTGTGCACGCTACGTTTCCAACACAGGAGGAAATGTAGCGAAACATACCGCCGTGTAACCCAGGTAATGAGCTGCCTCTATTTTTTAATTCTCAAAATGCTGATATTGACATTCTTGTGTTTGGAAATGGCAATTTTTTTTTTTTTTTTTGGGGGGGGGGAATTCACAACTCCGTCCTGAAAATTTTATAGCAATCATCTCCTTCCTTGGATCAAGCCTGACTACGAACCCATTTCCTAAGATCTTAGGATCACATCTGATTACAAACCCATTTCCTAAAAATCTTAGGATTAAACCTTATTACAAACCCATTTCCCTATGAGGCGAATAACCCATCCCTCCTTCCCCTACTGGTTTAGCTCTTCTCCGTAAATACATTTTAGCAGTCACCTCTATCACAGACAACTGACCTTCGTAGCAGGTGCCATTATCCCAGCCCAGCTGGCCACAGAAGATTTGTTTCTGAGGTAACCCGGTGTGGAAGAGGTGGTCCGTGTTGCAGGTGGCCGTTACGTTGTCTCCTATCCTGTACGTGGAGGTGTTCAGCCAGTTCGTGGAGGCGTTGGTTATATTGGGCGTCCAGAGGCATACTGGGAGAAAAATATCACTGTGTGACACACGAGAGAAGCATGAGATTACTCACCTAATTGTATGTGTGTGTGTGTGTGTGTGTGTGTGTGTGTGTGTGTGTGTGTGTGTGTGTGTGTGTGTGTGTGTGTGTACTCACCTAATTGTACTCACCTAATTGAGGTTGCAGGGGTCGAGACTCAGCTCCTGGCCCCGCCTCTTCACTGATCGCTACTAGGTCTTCTCCCTCTCTTCTTCCTGAGCTTTGTCGTACCTCTTCTTAAAACTATGTATGGTTCCTGCCTCCACTACTTCACTTGCTAGGCTATTCCACTTCCTGACGACTCTATGACTGAAGAAATACTTCCTAACGTCCCTGTGACTCGTCTGAATCTTCAGCTTCCAGTTGTGACCCCTTGTTTCTGTGTCCCCTCTCTAGAACATCCTATCTCTGTCCACCTTGTCTATTCCCCGCAGAATCTTGTATGTCGTTATCATGTCTCCGCTGACCCTTCTGTCCTCCAGTGTCGTCAGTCCGATTTCCCTCAACCTTTCCTCGTACGACATTCCCTTGAGCTCTGGGACTAGCCTTGTTGCAAACCTTTGTACTTTCTCTAACTTTTTGGCGTGCTTGACCAGGTGTGGGTTCCAGACTGGTGCTGCATACTCCAGTATGGGCCTAACATGCACAGTGTACAGTGTCTTGAACGATTCCTTATTAAGGTATCGGAACGCTATTCTCAGGTTTGCCAGGCGCCCGTATGCTGCAGCGGTTATTTGGTTGATGTGTGCCTCCGGTGACGTGCTCGGTGTTATGGTCACCCCAAGGTCTTTCTCCCTGAGTGAGGTCTGTAGTCTTTGTCCACCTAGCCTATACTCTGTCTGCGGTCTTCTTTGCCCCTCCCCAATCTTCATGACTTTGCATTTGGCTGGATTGAATTCGAGAAGCCAGTTTCTGGACCACATGTCCAGCCTGTCCAGGTCTCTTTGCAGTCCTGCCTCATCCTCATCCGATTTAATTCTTCTCATCAACTTCACATCATCTGCGAATAGGGACACTTCAGAGTCTATTCCTTCCATCATGTCGTTCGCATATATCAAAAATAGCACTGGTCCTAGAACTGACCCCTGTGGGACCCCGCTCGTCACAGGCGCCCACTGTGATACCTCTTCACGTACCATGACTCGTTGTTGCCTCCCTGTGTGTGTGTGTGTGTGTGTGTGTGTGTGTGTGTGTGTGTGTGTGTGTGTGTGTGTGTGTGTGTGTGTGTGTAGTCTACTGTAACTAAAATCTGGCAGTGAGATATGCATCACCACAGCACAAATCGTTAATCACATTGTTGAGGAGGAGGAAGAGATGCTGCAAGATTCAAGTCATTCTCTAAGACACACTTAAGATAGAGCGACAGCATCATACACCTACCTGGACCCATTATGTACCCGTGTCCATCCTGTCCACAGGATGAACACGGGTTGCATAATAAATATTAAACTAACACTTACCGTTGCAAGGAGCAGCGTTGGGGGGGTCGAAGTTGAAAGTATTGGTGGTGTTCTTGACGCAGGTGAAAGTCTGACTGGCGTTCCCGCCACTCAGACCCATCATAGGGGGGCAATTGTAGGTGATCTGCCCTCCTAGGTACACGTGCTGCCCATCAGTGGTATTGGTGACGTTGGGTGAGGTGGGTGGTGGAGGAGGCATGGTGCACACTGTTGCAAAACATAAGAACATAAGCATGGAGGACCACTTCAGCAGGCCTACTGGCCCATACTTGGCAGGTCCTTCTCAAACTCAAACCCACTAAACAAAATGTTTCCCCAAAAGAGGAAATGTTGCAGATGTGTCGTGTTGCACACATGGTATAAGAAACATGTGCAATGTTAGGATATTTTATAAGATATGTAACAATGTGTAACATTCACCAGAAACCTCCAGTTTGGTCAACAGCCTCATGTCGACATTACGGTCCCTCCTGGACCATTGTCAATGGTCCTGCACTGACCGAAACGTCGTCATGACGATCCTCTCAAAACTGTCGGTTTATTGGGGAATTACTGCAGTCACGAGTACCAGGGGCCTAACAGGTACCAGGGGCCTCACAGGTACCAGGAACATCACAGGTACCAGAAGCCACAGGTACCAGGAACATCACAGGTACCAGGAACATCACAGGTACCAGAAGCCACAGGTACCAGGATGAGAATAAAAGAACAGAATTTACCTTTGTATCTGGTGCAGTTGTGTAGTAGCGGCTTCGTCCAGGAGCCAGGAAGCCACGAACCAACCAGACCATAACAAGTCAACGTCTGGTTCGTTGTCCAAGTCTGGTTGTCTAAGAAGTACCCTAACAAACACCTGTGTGGGGAAAGACAGGTGCAAGAATAAGAAGAAAAGGCAGGTGTAAGAATGAGAGTGGAAGACAGGTGTAAGAATGAGAGTGGAAGGCAGGTGTAAGAATGAGAGTGGAAGGCAGGTGTAAGAATGGGAGGGAAAGGCAGGTGTAAGAATGAGAGGGAAAGGCAGATGTAAGAATAGGAGTGGAAGGCAGGTGTAAGAATGAGAGTGGAAGGCAGGTGTAAGAATGGGAGGGAAAGGCAGGTATGGAAAGCAAATAGCTTCCGTTAATCCGGAGGATCTGCAGTAAATGACTGAATTATTTAGATAACTGGAGAATATATTCGTGTAGGCAACAACAGTCAACATACTCACGAATAATTGACTGTAGCTCTTAGCAAGGTGCTGTTGTCCCAGATGATGGTCATGTTGAGCGTTGGAGAAGGCGGAGGCTTCCAGCACCCTGGGGAGGAAGACCTGGATGAGTGTGGTAGTGACAAGTGGTGGTACTGGTGGTGGTACTTGTGGTGGCACTGGTGGTGGTACTGGTGGTGGTACGGATGGTGGTGGTGGGAAATAATCGTTGTAGTGAAGGTGGTGGTGAGAATGGTAGTTCTGTAGCTGATGGTGAATATGTTGAATGTTAGGGTGGTTAGAGAGGGCAGTTATGGCGAAGAGGACGGTTGTTTACAGAAACTTTGTAAAAACACCTTGCGATCAACTGAACCAGTTTCAGATGCGTGTAAAAAGAAAAATACAACGAGTAAATGAATGACTTAACGCGTAATTAAAGAACACAAGGTATGTTCTGTGACTCAAGCGAAGAATGCTGGTAAAGTGATTGTTTCTAGTGTGTAACAACGATAGCCTTTCGTTAACGTAAGAAGGAATCCTGCTGGAACGATCCACCTCTGGGAAGTGTCCTAGCAGATGCATCAGACTCTAACAAGGTGCTCAAACAATAAACTGTATTCAACCGCCAGATGTCATTCGGATAAAGAGTAAATTAGCTTTAAGTCTCGCGATTCTGTCTATGTAAAGTGATTTTTTCTTACAATACGAGCTGTGACGTATCGTGACTGACTGGCTCTTAAATCGTCACTAGAATATAGTTAATAACACTTGGTGCAGTTGGTAGCACATCTGCTCAGCTGCCTGCCCCAGGTTCGAGCTCGCATTAACAGCCTCCGACCTGTCAGAACTCAAGCCCTAACATCAATAAATGCAATTAATACATGAGAATGAGGTTATATTGCTAAAAGACAATAGTGAATGAGAAACTACTGAGAAGACTGAAGTCTTGAGTCATGGTAAACATGCTGGACATGTATACAATATCGCCGAGATGAAGAATTAGACACATCTGCAATATCTTCGTATCTTTATTTGTACAAGTTTCACCATCCAGTGGATTTATCAATACATATTCAAGGACATATTGGGAATACTGTACAACTACATACAGAAGACGAGATAATCAGTCCATCAGCCTTGTAGTTGGTGAAGAGGACTGTGGTCTTGGTGAAGAGGACTGTGGTCTTGGTGAAGAGGACTGTGGTCTTGGTGAAGAGGACTGTGGTCTTGGTGAAGAGGAGTGGTCTTGGTGAAGAGGACTGTGGTCTTGGTGAAGAGGACTGTGGTCTTGGTGAAGAGGACTGTGGTCTTGGTGAAGAGGACTGTGGTCTTAAAGACTTCGTTACTCTTCACTAACTACAAGGCTGAAAGACTGCTTACCTCGTCTTTTGTATATAGTTCTACAGTCTTACCATTATGTCCTTGATTTTGTATTGATAAAGCCACTAGTTGGCGAAACGTCTACAAATAAAGATACCCAGATGTTACACATGTATCTAATTCTTCTTGGCAAACACGGACATGTTGATTAATGCGGCATGGATGGACAGAGACGAGTGAAATCACAAATGACAATATACATGAATACCTACCAGCAGGACCATAGAGCTGGCAGAAGGCCTTGGTGCCGACCGCTACAGTACGGGCTACATTTGTGAATTTCTGCGAAGTGGACGAGTTCAACATCCTCCAGTGCAACACGGAGGGGCTTGGAAACACAGAAGCATTCAGTGAAGGGTCCAGAGGATAGAGTCCACCAGCTGACCCATTTCCCCATCTGGGAGACAGGAAGGAAGAGAGAATTAGAGATGAGTAGACAATAAATGAGTTTAAAGGTATGGTCGAGAACTCTATATACAGATTAAATGCCATTACATATATTGGTTTGCTCTGAGAAACTGGTGGTACAGTGTGACTAAGACTACAGAGATGTTTTGGTTGGTTGGACTGCTAGGTTTCAAACCCACCAACTACACGAGGGTTATTAAAGCTGTATGTCACCTGCTCACCACTAGCCAAGAACTCTTTAATCAATTAAATAGGAAGCAAGAAGCTCCCAGTGTACATATACGGGTACTCACGCGTCGTTTATACCAATCAAGGCGCTAGTCGGAGGAGGAGAAGGCTTGTAACTCTGAGGAATAAAATTAAACCGAGTCATTCACAACAGAAAACCGTGCAGGCTCGATTCTCTGTACTAAAACAAGCACCACAATATCGACAGTTTATGGACACACAAACAAATCTATTTTTTTTATGTGAAACTAATTTCTTAGTTCTAAATTCATCTTCCATAAGACGTTACACACGACTTGTAAGATTTACCTTAAGACTTGTTAAACACTACTTGTCAGACCTACCTTAAGACTTGTTAAACACTACCTGTCAGACCTACCTTAAGACTTGTTAAACACTACCTGTCAGACCTACCTTAAGACTTGTTAAACACTACCTGTCAGACCTACCTTAAGACTTGTTAAACACTACCTGTCAGACCTACCTTAAGACTTGTTAAACACTACTTGTCAGACCTACCTTAAGACTTGTTAAACACTACCTGTCAGACCTACCTTAAGACTCGTTAAACACTACCTGTCAGACCTACCTTAAGACTTGTTAAACACTACCTGTCAGACCTACCTTAAGACTTGTTCAACACTACCTGTCAGACCTACCTTAAGACTTGTTAAACACTACTTGTCAGACCTACCTTAAGACTTGTTAAACACTACCTGTCAGACCTACCTTAAGACTTGTTAAACACTACTTGTCAGACCTACCTTAAGACTTGTTAAACACTACCTGTCAGGCCTACCTTAAGACTTGTTAAACACTACCTGTCAGGCCTACCTTAAGACTTGTTAAACACTACCTGTCAGACCTACCTTAAGACTTGTTAAACACTACCTGTCAGACCTACCTTAAGACATGTTAAACACTACCTGTCAGACCTACCTTACGACTTGTTAAACACTACCTGTCAGACCTACCTTAAGACTTGTTAAACACTACCTGTCAGACCTACCTTAAGACATGTTAAACACTACCTGTCAGACCTACCTTAAGACTTGTTAAACACTACCTGTCAGGCCTACCTCAAAACTTGTTAAACACGACCTGTCAAACCTACATTGAGCATATAGACCAGATTACTGATGGTGACTGTGGTCTGGGGGTAGGCTAGCGACGCTCCCTGCGCCTCACACGACCCCTGTGCTGTCAATACATCTGTAGAAACTGGGGTCAGGTTGTAGCAGGTGCCTCTGTACTGAGTATAGTTGGCAGGACACACAGCTGTCAGATCCACCAGGCAGGAAACCCAGACAAGAAACATTTTAAGTATTTTAATAACAAAAATTTTATTTCATAGGGTCGTGATTGTAAATCTTTAGCGGATAAACACAATCTACCAAGTTATTCTTACTCAGTTAAGTTATAATTACCCTGTATGAAGTGATGTTAATGTTTGATCCATAGAATTGGAGTTATCCTCTCCTTCCCTATGAACAATATATATTATTGTGACCACGAACGAGTGGTATTGATCAATAACAACACTGCACTAGCCGAAGACTCGAACCCATGCTGCTTTGGCCTGCCTCATGGTGGGCGAAAACGCATGACGCCCTAATCCACTGGACCATACGATCCTTACAAGTAGGGCATCCAGCGAAACTGGATGTTGTACTCCCTACCCAAGGACACACGATGGTGTGGATGACTCTAGGCTAATTTCATTCTAGTCCCTGTTTGGTGTACTAGTTCAACGAGCAGTATTTTATATTATTGTGACCACGAACGAGTCCTTGGGTAGGGAGTACAACATCCAGTTTCGCTGGATGCCGTACTTGTAAGGATCGTATGGTCCAGTGGATTAGGGCGTCATGCGTTTTCGCCCACCATGAGGCAGGCCAAAGCAGCATGGGTTCGAGTCCTTGGCTAGTGCAGTGTTGTTATTGATATATATTTATATATAATTAATTTCTATTTAGTTGATATAACTGGTATTCTATACAGAAAGTCCCTGTTTATGCAGAGCATTTCTGGCAACTTAAGCGTAATAGTATCCCCCAGGATGCCACCCACAACAGTCGGCTAGCACCCAGGTTCCTACTTACTACTAGGTGAACAGGGGCAGCAGGTGTAAGGAAACATGCCCAACGTTTCGCTCTTAAGGGTTTAGCTCCTCCTTAACAATATGATAATGTTTCTCATTAAAATCGGGAGATGAAACTACAGCAGATGATCTTGATGTGGATGCAGGGCTCTTGATCCAAGGGTCGAACCTGAATACCTCCCCTTCCCCAGGCACTGTATGGCACACCCTTGTTGACGCTGTGTTATTTAAATAGATATTTAATAACCCAGCATCATCAAGGTACGGTCATTGACCGATAAAACAACTTACGTGGCAGCTGGCAGATGTATCGGATGTTGGCAGCCTGGCAGTCGACCACTTGATAAGTGCCATTACCACTTACCACCACACAGCCTCGCCTAGTCATCTGTGGGGTGCCAGTTATCATGTTAACAGTGCCATTATTAACTAGCTTCTGTTGTGTTATCGTCACCATCATTATATCCGGTATTCACCAATATTTACTACTATCTCTACAGCGGCCCAGCATCACCACTGTTATCAGATCACCATGCACGGGATCACCATGCACGTGATCACCATGCACTGGGGATCACCATGCACTGGGGATCACCACGCACGTGATCACCATGCACTGGGGATCACCATGCACTGGGGATCACCATGCACTGGGGATCACCATGCACGTGATCACCATGCACTGGGGATCACCATGCACGGGATCACCATGCACGGGATCACCATGCACGGGATCACCATGCACGTGATCACCATGCACTGGGGATCACCATGCACGGGATCACCATGCACGTGATCACCATGCACTGGGGATCACCATGCACGGGATCACCATGCACTGGGGATCACCATGCACGTGATCACCATGCACTGGGGATCACCATGCACGGGATCACCATGCACTGGGGATCACCATGCACGGGATCACCATGCACTGGGGATCACCATGCACGGGATCACCATGCACGGGATCACCATGCACGGGATCACCATGCACGTGATCACCATGCACTGGGGATCACCATGCACGGGATCACCATGCACGTGATCACCATGCACTGGGGATCACCATGCACGGGATCACCATGCACTGGGGATCACCATGCACGGGATCACCATGCACTGGGGATCACCATGCACGGGATCACCATGCACTGGGGATCACCATGCACTGGGGATCACCATGCACGGGATCACCATGCACTGGGGATCACCATGCACGGGATCACCATGCACTGGGGATCACCATGCACGGGATCACCATGCACTGGGGATCGCCATGCACGGGATCACCATGCACTGGGGATCACCATGCACGGGATCACCATGCACGGGATCACCATGCACTGGGGATCACCATGCACGGGATCACCATGCACGGGATCACCATGCACTGGGGATCACCATGCACGTGATCACCATGCACGGGATCACCATGCACGGGATCACCATGCATGGGATCACCTTGCACGGGATCACCATGCACGGGATCACCATGCACGTGATCACCATGCACTGGGGATCACCATGCACGGGATCACCATGCACGTGATCACCATGCACTGGGGATCACCATGCACGGGATCACCATGCACTGGGGATCACCATGCACGGGATCACCATGCACGGGATCACCATGCACTGGGGATCACCATGCACTGGGGATCACCATGCACGGGATCACCATGCACTGGGGATCACCATGCACGGGATCACCATGCACTGGGGATCACCATGCACGGGATCACCATGCACTGGGATCGCCATGCACGGGATCACCTTGCACTGGGATCACCATGCACGGGATCACCATGCACGTGATCACCATGCACTGGGGATCACCATGCACGGGATCACCATGCACGGGATCACCATGCACTGGGGATCACCATGCACGTGATCACCATGCACTGGGGATCACCATGCACGGGATCACCATGCACGGGATCACCATGCATGGGATCACCATGCACTGGGGATCGCCATGCACTGGATCACCATGCACTGGATCACCATGCACTGGGGATCACCATACACGGGATCACCATGCACTGAGATCATCATGCACTGGATCACCATGCAAGGGATCACCATGCATGGGGATCACCATGCACTGGATCACCATGCACGGGATCACCATGCACTGGATCACCATGCACTGGATCACCATGCACTGGATCACCATGCACTGGATCACCATGCACTGGATCACCATGCACTGGGATCACCATGCACGGATCACCATGCACGGATCACCATGCATGGATCACCATGCACGGGGGATCGCCATGCACTGGATCACCATGCATACAATCACGAGACACTCACGGCACCATGATGATCATTGCATGTTCACCAAGAGGGACACCATCTGGATCCCCAGTTATTGGGATACCATGACGATCACCAACAGATAAGTGTACGGGTCACCATGCACGAACAAATGCACTGGTTACATATCTGGTCAAGCACTGGAATCAATAACACTGGAATACCTTGCATGACAATACTATAATAAGATTGGCAATGACGGATCTAATGATTTCAACGAACGACAAGTGTTGTGCTAGTGTTGTCAACACGAGATGTGACTATTGCAATCACACAACTGTTTTGATAGTGCAGACAACAACAGTTGTGTTTGCAACCAAAACAAGTATCAGTTATATATTTGCAAGAAAAGAATTGTTATTTGCAAGTAACACAATTTTTGGATAGTGTTGCAATCACGAGATTGTTGATTTGCAACAACGACAAGTGTTTGTGATAGTGTTGCAACCACGAGATTGTTGATTTGCAACAACGACAAGTGTTTGTGATAGTGTTGCAACGACGAGATTGTTGATTTGCAACAATAACAAGTGTTTGTGATAGTGTTGCAACGACGAGATTGTTGATTTGCAACAACGACAAGTGTTTGTGATAGTGTTGCAACCACGAGATTGTTGATTTGCAACAACGACAAGTGTTTGTGATAGTGTTGCAACGAGATTATTGATTTGCAACAACGACAAGTGTTTGTGATAGTGTTGCAACGACGAGATTGTTGATTTGCAACAATAACAAGTGTTTGTGATAGTGTTGCAACCACGAGATTGTTGATTTGCAACAATAACAAGTGTTTGTGATAGTGTTGCAACCACGAGATTGTTGATTTGCAACAACGACAAGTGTTTGTGATAGTGTTGCAACGAGATTATTGATTTGCAACAACGACAAGTGTTTGTGATAGTGTTGCAACGACGAGATTGTTGATTTGCAACAACGACAAGTGTTTGTGATAGTGTTGCAACGAGATTATTGATTTGCAACAACGACAAGTGTTTGTGGTAGTGTTGCAACGACGAGATTGTTGATTTGCAACAACGACAAGTGTTTGTGATAGTGTTGCAACGAGATTATTGATTTGCAACAACGACAAGTGTTTGTGATAGTGTTGCAACGACGAGATTGTTGATTTGCAACAACGACAAGTGTTTGTGATAGTGTTGCAACCACGAGATTGTTGATTTGCAACAACGACAAGTGTTTGTGATAGTGTTGCAACGAGATTATTGATTTGCAACAACGACAAGTGTTTGTGGTAGTGTTGCAACGACGAGATTGTTGATTTGCAACAACGACAAGTGTTTGTGATAGTGTTGCAACGACGAGATTGTTGATTTGCAACAAAGTGTTGGTGAAATAGTGTTGCAGCACTTATTAAATAATATATGAGAAACTTGATTCACAGACATGTGTTAAGTGTCTAACATTATATGTCTAACAGTGTATGTTAGCATATGTTAGTTCCATGTTGCGATCTAGCACAAGTTGCGTACACCAGAGATATCATGGCAACTGTGAACGTGTCTATGGCAACTGTGAACCTGGCTAACGTTGGCAACCGTGAACCTAACTACGGCAACTGTGAACCTGTCTAACTACGGCAACTGTGAACCTGTCTAACTACGGCAACTGTGAACCTGTCTAACTACGGCAACTGTGAACCTGTCTAACTATGGCAACTGTGAACCTGTCTAACTACGGCAACTGTGAACCTGTCTAACTACGGCAACTGTGAACCTGTCTAACTACGGCAACTGTGAACCTGTCTAACTACGGCAACTGTGAACCTGTCTAACTACGGCAACTGTGAACCTGTCTAACTACGGCAACTGTGAACCTGTCTAACTACGGCAACTGTGAACCTGTCTAACTACGGCAACTGTGAACCTGTCTAACTACGGCAACTGTGAACCTGTCTAACTACGGCAACTGTGAACCTGTCTAACTCCGGCAACTGTGAACCTGTCTAACTACGGCAACTGTGAACCTGTCTAACTACGGCAACTGTGAATCTGTCTAACTACGGCAACTGTGAACCTGTCTAACTACGGCAACTGTGAACCTGTCTAACTACGGCAACTGTGAACCTGTCTAACTACGGCAACTGTGAATCTGTCTAACTACGGCAACTGTGAACCTGTCTAACTACGGCAACTGTGAACCTGTCTAACTACGGCAACTGTGAACCTGTCTAACTATGGCAACTGTGAACCTGTCCAACTATGGCAACTGTGAACCTGTCTAACTATGGCAACTGTGAACCTGTCTAACTATGGCAACTGTGAACCTGTCCAACTATGGCAACTGTGAACCTGTCCAACTATGGCAACTGTGAACCTGTCCAACTATGGCAACTGTGAACCTGTCCAACTATGGCAACTGTGAACCTGTCCAACTATGGCAACTGTGAACCTGTCTAACTATGGCAACTGTGAACCTGTCCAACTATGGCAACTGTGAACCTGTCCAACTATGGCAACTGTGAACCTGTCCAACTATGGCAACTGTGAACCTGTCCAACTATGGCAACTGTGGACCTGTCCAACTATGGCAACTGTGAACCTGTCCAACTATGGCAACTGTGAACCTGTCCAACTATGGCAACTGTGGACCTGTCCAACTATGGCAACTGTGAACCTGTCCAACTATGGCAACTGTGGACCTGTCCAACTATGGCAACTGTGGACCTGTCCAACTATGGCAACTGTGAACCTGTCCAACTATGGCAACTGTGGACCTGTCCAACTATGGCAACTGTGGACCTGTCCAACTATGGCAACTGTGGACCTGTCCAACTATGGCAACTGTGGACCTGTCCAACTATGGCAACTGTCAACATGGCAAGAGAGAGAGAAAGAGAGGGAGCGTTTCAAAGTATCTGAATGTTAATAATAATAATAATAATAATAATAATAATAATAATAATAATAATAACAATAATAATAATAATAATAATAATAATAATAATAATAATAATAATAGGTCAATGTAAGGAATGGTGAAGGCTCGATCCTACGTTCCTTTAATCGAGAGAATGAAAGACAAGATATATATATATATATATATATATATATATATATATATATATATATATATATATATATATATATATATATATATATATATATATATATATATACATATAGTACCTGAAGAGATGAGCAGTGTAGTAGAAGTAAGTCTCTTCCAAGTCCAAAACGTCGTGGAGGTCACTGAGGGCAGCCAGAGAGGCGTTCATCTGGGCACACCTGTGGAGAAAAGAGCAAGGACACTCACCTGTGATGCCTAGTTAATAACAGAGTCGAGTCACCGCCCTAGTATGGTATGCACTGCCGACAAGATGGAGAATTAGATACATGTAATAAGATCACAGTAAACAGGTGATATCACAATATACAAAACAACCACTGTGAAAAAAAATAGTGAAATTCCAAGCGCTTTCGTGACTTCGCGATGATGTGGGAAATCACGAAAGCTCTTGGGATTTCACTATTTTTTTCCATAGTGGTTGTCTACAATTAGACACATGTGAAACGTCTGGGTATCTTTATTTGTAGGGACGTTTCGCCATCCAGTAGATTTATTAACGCAAATACAAGGACACAACGGGAAGACTGTAGAATTGTACACAAAAGACGAGATAAACAGCCCCTCAGCCTCGGTGTTAGTGAAATGTTCCTACAGTGAAGACTGTCGGTTCTTGTAACGACTGACATCACTGTCAGGTATATTCCACAGTCTGGGAGATACGTGTATCATACACGTCGGCTGTTATGGCACTCTAGTCTTTATTAACAATAGGATTTATTAGCCAAGTCTACCCTGTTGTTTCATGATAATTACGTTTTTCTATTTTTAGGCGAGTTGGTATCGACGGACAGTGTATTAGAGAAGACACGCAGGTAATGTAGCTCGTTACTGGAGCATGGAGGACCACTGACCATCAAGGTTAAGCCCCAATTACTTCAAAGAGAGAGAGAGAGAGAGGCAGCCTTGATGTCGGAGAAGTGCCTTTATGAGGATAATCTGACCTACCCTCCTCCTCCTTGGGTCAAACCTGGCTGTCTCCCACGCCATTAACATTTCTCCGAGAACACCATAACAATAATAATAGCAAAAAGAATTATAATAACAAAAACAATAATCACAATAACAAAAATAACAACAATAATAATATCAGTAATAATAATAATAATAATAACAGTACTGACTCAATGGCTGCTCCAGTGATGCCCAGGTTGACTGAAGCTGCAGTTGACACATTGTAACAGCTGGTCTGGCTTGTTGATCCCTCGAAGTTGATAGGACACCGTACTGCAACACACACAACACCCCTCACTCTCTACTTACAAAAAATAGGTCACAGATACAGGAACCCGAGATTATTTTGCATAGATACCTACTTTGGTGTGTGTATATATATGTATATATATATATATATATATATATATATATATATATATATATATAATATATATATATATATATATATATATATATATATATATATATATTAGGAACTTTTTAAGTTTCTTGCAGATGGAGAAATCAATTTTTGTTTCTTTGAAACAAAAAAAATTAAGGTCTTTTCAGGTGCATAAACCTGGGTTATTTCTTAGATTTATAAACTTAACTTTCTTTCGTAGATAGAAATATGCTATTTCTTAGATTCAGAAATCTAACTTACTTTCAAAGGCAAAAAGCTAGGTTACTTCTTTGATTTGGAAATCTAATTCTCTTCTTGATGAAGATTTGATCCCTGAACCTGCGTGAGCAGAGTCGATTCACCTGTGACAGCTGACATACTGAAACCTGCGCTTCTGTTACACATGAACACCTGTGTCAGCTCTTAGATACTGACCTCTAACTTTCCTGTAGATCAACACACCTGTGTCAGCTCTTAGATACTAACCTCTAACTTTCCTGTAGATCAACACACCTGTGTCAGCTCTTAGATATGTATAATAACATCCTTTCAGAGACAAAACTAGATCAATCCTTTAGACACAGAAAAGTCACCTAATTCTCTGGCGTAGAAGCCAAAACACATGCACACACACACACACACACACACACACACACACACACACACACACACACACACACACACAGAATGTCCCAAAGATGGGGCACAGCAACAAGAGGACACAGCCGGAAATTGAAGACACAGATGAATCACAGGGATGTTAGGAAGTATTTCTTCAGTCACAGAGTTGTCAGGAAGTGGAATAATTTGGGAAGCGATGTAGTGGAGGCAGGATCCATACACAGCTTTAAGCAGAGGTATGATAAAGCTCATGGTTCAGGGAGAGTGACCTAGTAGCGATCAGTGAAGAGGCGGGGCCAGCAGCTCGGACTCGACCCCCGCAACCTCAACTAGGTGAGTACAACTAGGTGAGTACACACACACACAAACAGGTTTGCAACGAGACTAGTCCCGGAGATAAGGGGCATGTCCTACGAGGAGAGGTTAAGGGAACTCGACCTGACAACACTGGAAGACAGAGGGATAGGGGAGACATGATGGCAACATATAAAATACTGAGAGGAATCGACAAGGTGGACAGAGACAGGATGTTCAAGAGATGGGACACAGCAACAAGGGGACACAATTGGAAGTTGAAGACTCAGATGAGTCACAGGGATGTTAGGAAGTATTTCTTCAGTCACAGAGTAGTCAGGAAGTGGGAAGAATATAAACTGTGTCTGACAGGTCCTTGACTCCTTACCTACAACATCATAAAGACCAGGTGTTATAAGATGACCGAGAAGTGTAACCTCGACATTATATGCCTTCTTCCAACCTTTATTTTTACACTTCCATGATAATGTGAAAAATCACGAAAGCGCTTGAACGTTCACTATTTTTCCCACAGTAGTTGTGTTGTATATACATACATACATACATACATACATACATACATACATACATATATATATATATATATATATATATATATATATATATATATATATATGTGTGTGTGTGTGTGTGTGTGTGTGTGTGTGTGTGTGTGTGTTGTGGTGTGTACTCCATGAGGCTTCTGTTGATATATAGACTCCTAACAACGGGCAGGATGGTACTTACACTGGCAAGGCAGCGTGAGATTACCACTCCAGACAAGAATCCCGGAGACATTCTGGCAGATGCGGGCTCCTTGTGCAGTGTAAGGTCCCCCATCAGGACCCTCCATCATGTAGGATCCGTTGCACGTGTAGTTGATAATGTTGCCTAGAGTGCGGGCTTGTGGCACCGTGCCATTCCAGTTCTGTCGACCAGAATGCCAGTCCGTGTTGCTGACGTTAATGACCGGACATGCGATACCTGAGCCAGGTGAGAGAGTACGGTTAGTGGAACACATGTTTCAGATTTCCCGAAGTCCGTTATATAGAGGTCCGCTATATCGAGGTGTTGATTGAAGCTGTGCTGGTGCTCATTACAGGTGTGCTGGTGCTGGTGTCCGATTGCTGATTACAGATGTGAGGGTGTTCAATACAAGCGCAGTGATGGTGGTGATGGTGGTGATGGTGGTGATGGTGGTGATGGTGCTGGTGATGGTGATCGTGGTAATGGTGGTGGTCGTGGTGCTAGTGATGATTGTTGTTGTTGTTTTAGTAATAACAGTAACAGTAACAAAAGGAACAACAGTGTTACAAGCAACACAAGACAGACGACAAACACAA